CCCATGGACACAGTGCTCAGACGGCAGCCTGTATTCTGAAATTCCAGTTTTGACCTTGAATTCATTTGCCCATGCACTTGTCCGCCCTTTCACTCACAAATATCCACCAGATGCCTCTGCCACGCCTGCAGTGCCGCCACAGTGGCCAAGCCCAGCGTGGCCCCTGCCCTCACTGAGCCAACAGTCCAGCGTACAAGACACTCGTGACCACCTTTCTAATGACAGTGCAGTATGTCTTAAGTGCAATGGGAGAGGCCAGTGGGGACACGGTGAGAATCTAGGGCTAGTCAGAGAGAACTTTTCTGCAGTGGTGGCATTTAAATGCTGAGATGAGGAGGTGGCCAACATGAAATTGGGGGGCTGAGGGTAGTAGCAGGAGGAGAAGGGAGAGTATTCCAGATTAAGGAACTTTTGGGGGAGCCCTGTGGGCCTCCCAGCTGGGCCTTGAGGGCCTTATCTGCTATTGGGGTGGTAACAGAACGGCCTGGAGGCTCAGAGAGGTGGAACAGTAGTGTGTGAGGTAGCTGAGGTTTGTCACGCACTGCACACTGTTCAAGCTCCTGTGCACTGCTCGCTCATTCTTCCTAGACCCTGAGAGGAGGTGTATATTATCTCCTTCGTTTTCAGTAGAGGAGATCGAAGCTCAGGGAGAAGTCATTTTCCTAAGGTCACACAGCTAGGAAGTACCGGAGCCGGATTCTGAACCCAGGCCAGCTGGCTTCAGAGCCCACGCTCAGGCCCCTGATCAGCAGCTGGGCCGAGCAAGGGAGGGTGGACAGATAGGCACCCGGGCTGGGGAAGGGAGGGGGAGGAGACAAGTTTAAGGTGAAAGTAGGAGCAGGTCTAGGGCGGCTCAAGGGCTGGGCTGCACATTCTAGGAGGGCAAGGCTTCACCTCTCCTCTCCACCATATCTCCAGGGTCCGGCACATAGTAAGTGCTCATTAAATGTGTGTGGGCTTTCTTCCTTCAACCCACACTTATTCATGCCGTGTGACAAGGCGGCAGGAACACTGGCAACAAAAGCCAGACCACGGTTCACCTCTGGTCAAAACCCAGTGACTTCTTACAACACTGAGGATGAAAATCAATGTGCGGTCTCAGGCGCCGCTTTCCCTCAGACGAAGGCCCTGCCTCGCCCCTCACCCATTCCCCTCTGGGCATACCCACCTCCTCAGTGTTCCTCAACCTGCCAGAGCCCTCGCCCTCCCCCTGCCCCTGGGCCTTTGAACTCCACTCTCTGCAGGATCCCCTTCTACTTGCTCACCTCTCGGACCAGTGCCTGTCATGGCGCCTTCTGTCCCTCTATTTAGGTGTCTTCAAAGGTCACTGGCTTCCCTAACTGTGCTACAGAAACCACTTCTGCCCAGCTCACTCACACTCTGCCCCTTAGCCCTGCTTCTACTTTTCTTTGTAGCACTTAAGACACTGCCTAGCCCTGGGCAGGGTGGCTCAGTCACTTGCAGCATCGTCCCGATGTGCCAAGGTTGCAGGTTCAATCCCTGGTCAGGGCATATACAAGGAGCAACCAATGAATGCATAAATAATAAATGGTACAACAAATTGACATTTCTTTCCTTCTTTCTCTCTCTCTTTCTTTCTCCACCTTCCTCCCTTCACTTCCTCTCTCTAAAAATCAATAAAAAAAAAGACATTGCCTAATTTCCATCTCCCCGCAGTGGAAGGTCACCTCCACAATCGCAGGGATTTGGGGTCTGTCTCGTTGACTTCTCTGTCATCAGAGCCTAGAGCAGTGCCTGACACACAGCAGGTCCTCGGTGACTGTTTGTAGAGGGAAGGGAGGAAGAAGGACGGGAGGAGGGCGGGCGGGAGAGGAGAGAAACCAGAGGGTCAGACAGCTTCAAGGGTTGTTTCCTATGATTTTACGTTGAGAGGGAATTGATCCTAATTACATGCAGAGAAGAGGCAGCCGAGAGGGAGGGGAGGAGACACAGACGGAGAAGAGAGAGGAGTGAGCCGGATGGAAAACTTGAGGACAGAACTCAGGCGAAGGGACCACCCTCAGGGGCTCCCGTCCTTGTCCTGAACACTAACCGAGGATGCCCGACCCTTGGGTGACGAATGGAAAGTTCTACCTGCAATGGTTTTGAAGAGCGAGCCCATCTTACCAGAGACCTTCTGCCTACACTTGGTCCCTGCTGGAAATCCTGAAACTCACAGCCGGGCCTCAGCCTCCCTCCCTCTGGCCTCTCGAGGGAAGCCTGGCTGTGGGCTCTGTGCCAGAGGCTCCCCACACAGCAGATGCTGCGATGGAAGTCCCTTCAGAGGACAGCATGGCAGGGAGTGGGGGCAGGACAGGCTAAAGGCTACCCTTCCCCTGGGGGCCCTGCCCTGAGGGCCTCCCAGCTCGTGATTACAGACCAGCTCCCTGTCCTGGGCCTGGGCAGACCCGCTCCGGGAGCACGTACGTGTCCCCAGCACAGTGCCGGTCTCGCAGACGGGTGAGCATCAGGACAGGCCATACCCAGCACAACACACTGGTGGCTGGGAATGGGTGGCACTAGGTCACAGCTAGTAACCCGTGGCACATCCTCGACTTTCCCTTCTAGGGGCTGAAAACCACCTCCGCCTGGGTCTGTCAGTCTCACTCTGCCCATATATCCATGGCTTAGATGAGAAGATTCTTCTGAACGCTCAGCCAGTTGACATTCGCATCCAAAAGACGCTCTTTGACGTGCGTTTTCAGGATCTTGTGATTCATTCCTTTTGCTACAAATTCGTGAAGATGAGCTCTTGTCTGGGGCAAACAAGATAAGTGTTCTTTCTGCTTTGTGTCATATGACTGCAGAAGGTCTCTGACCCTCCCTGGGCTGCTGCCGGTTTTGTCCCTGCTTTCAGGATCACTGACTGGGACCAGCCGCATGTCCCTTTGTATCTGCGACCATATTTACGCCCATTTAAGGAACTGCCATAGTTAATGCCTTATTCATTTGCATTTCTATTTCATATACCAGTAAACTGAGGTTTGGAGAGGTTAGGTAACTTGACAAAGGTCAGAGTGTTAGTTCCTGTCTCCCTGTCTCCACCGAGGGGCTGAGGGCTGAGTCTGGGCTCCGTGAGCAAACCCGGGAGCACCGCGGGTGTCCGTGTGAATGTGAGATGTGCGAAGGTGGCTGCTGGGAGTTGGAGGGGATTTTAAGAGGGGATCTAAGGCAGGTAGCGTTGTGGAAACAGGACACTTCCCTGGAGGATCTCAAAGCGTCCCGCTCACTCCACCTTTCCCAAAGGCCGGAGTCGAGGGACTCGCACACTGTCACTACCTGGCAGCTGGACCCAACGGGAACTGAGAAATGAGCAGAGGCCAGAGTCGGAACCTGAGCATCAAGAAGGCTCTGGGTCCTGCTGGCTGGCCGGGTGATGCAGGGGACTCAAGATTCCGCAGCCTTCCCTGGTGCAGACACTGACAAGCTGTGTGCCACCTCACCTGTCACTCAGCCACTCTTGGCCTCCAGGGGACCTCTCTCTAATCATGTGGCAATTACTCCTGTCTCCACTAATATCTTGGGGGAGCTCTGAGGCTTAGGTGAAATTCTACTGAGTGCTCCATTTCAAGCATTGTGAGCAGAGCATTAAAAGATTGATTATCTACTAGGTCATTGTTAATATCATTATTGATTTGTGCTAGTAATCTCTGGTGGTCTGGCTGGCTCTCTCCCTGTGGCCCACACTTCCCACACCACACCCTGCATCTTCTCCTCTCCTGTCCGTGCTTCTCATGGTTTGGGAATCCAAAGATTTGAGTCCTGAGTTTAGGCTCTGGCACTCACCTGAGCTGGGTGACTCTCCCAGCCTCTAGCTCCTTCTCTGTAAAATGGGCTGAATCTCTAACCCTGGGCTCACCGAGTTGTGTGAGGTGCAGATGGGCTGAGGTTTACAAATGCTACAGGGGGTGGGAATGGGACAAACTGATGTTGCTCTGATGTTTTGTTTTTTTTTCTGAATGTTCCCAGGTTCATTCCAAAGCCTCTGATTTTACGAGAAGAAAAAATACCATCTATACTCTCAGATTGTTGGCACCCGAAGGTTACTGAGTCATCATTACCACTCCTCCTTGAATCCCACTCGCAAGCAGAAAGACACAAACATTCAAGCTTCCTGCACGACTGCCCCATCCAGGGCTCTCCTCCTCCTGAGCAGGAGGGTGTGCGTGTGTAATTACAGTGAGTACCGGTGTTTGCTTTGCAGAATTGTTTATACCCAAAGCTATGAAAGATGTAATAAAAAGAGAAATCTATGCTTTTAAAGTACCTCAAGAGCTCATTTCCCCATCCCTAGTTTCTGATGTCTCCCTGGGGGCCAGCCTCCCACCCATGTCCCTCAGAGGCCTGTCGGCATCCACTCCCCCAGGAAAACTACCCCAGACAGAACTGACTGCACTACCCCTGTGTCCCCACCAGGGGGACAGTGGGCATCCAGACAGCAGAGACCCACAGGGGACGAGTTGTGACAGCGTCCTCACCCATCCCAAGGCTCTCGGAGCCACAGTGTGAGAACAGCAGGAAGTGGAGGGGCATCAGGGATCCACTTCGCACAGCTGGGGAAACAGAGGCCAACGGAAGGAAAAGATTTTTGCAAGGCCACCTGATCTCACGCCGGGGGGGTGGAACAAGGCTGCTGTGTGCCACCTCCAGTCGCTTTAGCCTGGAGGCCTTCTGAAGAACCACAGGGCTGTCCTGAGGAGGGGGCTGTGGGTGAGCAAGCTGTCACCGAAGACTGGTGACCAAGACTGGCTGGACCTTCTTTCCAAGGCCATGCACTGGTTAGGCAGGGTTGGAAGGTTCTGTCCAACACCACTGGGTCTCTGAGCCTTTGGTCTGTGAGCAACCGGACTGAGAGGCAGGCAGGGAGGACGGAGCTTGGTGTGCCAAGGAGGTGGCAGGAAGCAAGGTTGGGGGAAGTGAAGCCTCAGGAGATCTTCCCAGCACCTCAGTCCCCACTTCGCCCACCCCGACCCCCTGACTGAGTTCAGAAGGGCACATACCAGGATGTCCAGGCAGGCGGCCTTCAGCAGGGTGATTTGGTCCGCGATGGTCAAGCTGGTGAAGCCTGGCAGGCGCTTAGCAAACTCCACGATCTTAATAATGCACTTGGTGGCCAGTTCACTGAATTTGTCCCAGAGGCCCAGGTCCAGTCGGACTCGATGGTCAGCACTGGAATTCTGAGAGGGAGAGAAAACACCATAGTTTCGGGGAAGCCCAGTGCGGGGTGGGAAACTCAACACATTTCCTGTGAACGTGCTGGCACTTCATTCTTGACCAGGGAGCTTCCTGGTGGGATGGCCGGGTTTTGCCCTGTACCACTGGGTCCTTCAGTTACAGATAAGGGGGTTTCTCTGTGCAATTATTCCAGCTGATACATGGAGAAAGAATGGAACAGGGAGCCACCATGTTATAACTCCGATGGATTGATGGCTCTAGGCATTGACCATCAGTGGTTGCTATTATATTTTTAATATAATATCTTTTTAGAGGCGGCCTGCCATCTGGGTGTCCTGGTGGAAACACGTGGCCCCACCTATGAAACAGCCAAACCAGAAGCACCGTGAGCCTCTAGCTCTAACTGCAGGAAACCCAGGAGATGGAGGAACGTGCTACGCTACACCGAGGGGGACGCAACTGTCAGTCTCCAGGAAGCGGGAAATAAAACCAACGAACTCGTTTCTTCAACAACTGTCCTGCAAGGGGAGTAAAGAAGTGGCAAGAGAAACCTACAGATTAAAAGTGACTCCGTCCAGACGCTCGTTAACGGATGGATGGATAAACTGGGACACGAGCAGGTGGTGGGGCAGAGATGACAAGCGAAGATGCTGCGACAGGGACAAACCACACATGCATCGCGCTCAGTGAAAGAAAGCAGACGCAGAAGCCTACACACAGAGGGACTCCATTCGTATGGCATTCCGGAAGTGGCACAACTACGGCGACAGAGAGCAGACCAGTGGTGTCCAGGTGGGGGACGGCTGAGCACGAAGGTGCCCAGGTGGGGGACTTGGTGGAGTGATGGAAATGGCCCACATCTTGTGACATGGTGAGGAAATGACATCGATAAGGGAAATGGTGACATGTATATGAGGAAATCTGAGATATCGAGGTATAATCTTTTTATTTCAGAAGGAGTAAGATAGCATGTCATTTGTTTGCAGAAGGGTCTGTCATTTAGGACACATTAAAATGTTTACAGACCAAATAAGGTGCTCGCTATTTTCTTTCAAATAACATGTAATGGGTAGAGTGTGTATGAGGGTGGAGAGATGAGGGAAACGAGATTGGCTGTGGAGGGATCATGGGCGTTTATTATTCTATTCTCTCTGCTCTCATATGAAGTTTGAGATCTTACATAATAAAATAAAAGGTAAAAACCTGACAATGATAAGGAAAAACGGAACTACTGCCACAACCAAGTTTAGGCTCTCAGAGGTCCTCAGTGTTGTGATGGCCACATGCCCGCCTCACGTGGTGCTCCCTGTCCCACGACCGGCCCAGGCCCCCACGGAGAGGCAGGGCCAGGCTCTGCGGGCAGGTGCGGGCAGCACGATGGTGCGGGCTGCGCAACCGCACGGCACAGAGGGGCTCTCGAGGGGCCGCCCCTGGACACCACAGCTGCCCCTCCCTGTGCTTCCCAGGGAGGACCGGCCTCCGCACCTCTCAGCAGCTTCCACTCAGGACCCGAGGCCCAGGCGCCTGCAGAGTCCCTCATCTCCGATGGCCACAGAATATTCAAGGGGAGCCCTTCCTCTCATCCCAGCAGAAGGCCAGTGGATTTTAGACCAAACCTCTGCACCTACTGGTTGGGTTCCTGTGCCTATTCAAATACTCCTTCCTTTGTTCACTTACTCATCTTCCTCCTTTCGTCCCCCTCTCCCTGTTCCTTGAATGTTTCCTGACTCACCTCCACATAGCCAGGGGCTGGGGTCTCATGGCTGAACACACCAGACAGCCTCCCCGCTTAGCGGGCTTAGGTGCCTGCTGTCTTCGGAGCCTCACCAGGCCCCCCCTCTCACTAGCCTTCACTCCCCACCCCCGAGCCCCACAACCACACGGGGAAGAAGAGGCTGTTAGTTTCACTGTAAGATGCGGCACGTCCATCTCAGACAGCGGAGATGACTTGGCAAGGGAGGGCTGGAAGCGGATCCCGGGTCCACCTGATCCCCAAACCTGGCCTTTTCCCCTACTTCTCTGACAGATGTGACCTCCTGCATGAGACACCCTCTCTTCACACCTCTCTTTCCCCATCTGTAAACAGGGATGCATGCCACCTGCCCGCAAAGGCTGCTGGGGAGAATAAGCAGGATCCCAGAGGGAAGGAAGCACATGGTGCCTGGTGTGTTCTTGGGGTTTGAACAGTGTTGGACCCCTTTCCTCATCACCCCTCCTGCCCACGGCACGGCTGGGGGGTGCTCAGTCCACAGCAATGACTGCCTTCTCCGCTGTCCTGCACAGGTAACACGGCCAGCAACGTCCCCATACTGGCCCCACCCTCCTGCCCATTATAGGCACCAACCTCTCTTCATGTAATCCGTATAGAGGACGCTCACAGCGCACACGGGAATTAGGCCACCACTAAGAACTTGACGAAAATTGCTGAAGGTCTCAGCTTTTGGTTAGAACCACACTCCAACGTACTCAAGGAAGTGGCTTTGGGCTTTGACTTTGTTTCCGTTTCCTTTTCTTTCTGAAATCTCCGGCAGGACCGCTGGTGTGATGGTGCCCAATGGCCATCCTGCATCTCTGTCTTCCTGCCTTCCTCTCTGTTCTGCCTCCAGAGCCATTTGGGGCACTGCGCCTCCTTCCCTCTCAGCCCCTGGGGTTTTAGGAGGGGCAATAGGGCCCCCTCAGGTGCAGGGAGGGCACTTGACTCTGGTTTGGCTAATCAGAGTGGTCCCTCCTCCTGGCTACAGTGATTGGATCGGAAAAGAGCAGGTAACCCAGAGCTGGCCAATGAGGCTTAATTCTGAGGCTTTTGTTGGAACAACTGGGGAAGCAAAGTTCTCTGTCAGTGAGGGCCACTGGTCACCAGGGGCTTGCAGGGGCCTTCTAAACAACGCAGCCAATTCAGAGGAAAGCCGAGATGAACCATGAAGAGAAAGACAGTGGCCCTGTCCTAAAGATACTGAGCTGCTGGATCCAGCTATGCCTGATTCATACCAGAGGTTGTTTGTTTTTGTTTTTCTTTTAAATTGAAGTTGATTCAAGGGTGGTTTCTATCACCAGCAACAGGAAGAATTCTAATGTGCAGTTATAGCTTAAGATGGTTTAGGTCTGAGAGTTTCATAATATCCCCCACCCCACCCCAGAATGTGTCAAGACCTAGAGAAGTGGCCCCCACTGCCACCACCCTAGTCTGAGCCACCATCATCTCCTGCCTGGATCCTTGTAACAGCCTCCTCACCCCACCCTGTCCTCCTCACAGACTTTTCTTACCAAAGGACTAAAGGAAATCTTTTTAAAACACAAGTCAGACCAAGTCACTATGCTGCTTAAAATCTCCCGTGATTTGTCACTCAGACTAAAAGTCAAAGTCATTTCAGTGGCCTGCAAGGCCCTCCCAGATCTGGCTCCTGCTCTCTGGTCTCCTCCCACTCTCTCCCCAGCCTACCCACTCCTAGCCACACAGGTCTCCTGGCTCTCTCTGAACAGGTGGGGCATGTGCCTGTCTCTGGGCCTTTGCACTGGCTGTTCCCTCCACTGGGATTGCTGTTCCCTCCACTGGGATTGCTCTTCCCCAGGTACCTGTGTGATGTCATCCCTCATTCCTTCAAGTCTGTGCTCAATGTCACTTTCCCTGTGGCCTCGCAGCTGCTCTCCTGCCAATGACAGACCCCTCGTGCTAACTACAACAGAATACACACATGAATTTTCAAAGTGCCCTAGTACTCAGTTAACCTCCTTTATACATGTAAATCTGTGTTCTCTCTTCATTTCCTGTTCATCCTCACATTCCTACATCCATTGAAGATTTACTGCCTCTACCACGTAAGAATTAAGTGAGCTGTTGAAGTTTAAGATAAACGTGGCATGAAAAAAATAGGTTTTTCTTCCAAAAAATATTTATTTTTATCATGGCCCATTAAAGTAATGAAAATTGGGCATATTACACAGAATTTTTTAAAAAGTATTGTTCACTTGTATTTTGAGGTTGGTATTTCATAAATTATAAACTGATAGATTGTATTTTTTTTAAAAAAAGGAATGGGCATCTCCCAGTATTTTATTTGTAATTTGGACTTCTGAAAAATTTCTCTTTACACATGTAAAATTATTTGTACCATTTTTCAGGAGAAGAAAATAAGTACTGCCCTATATCCTCAACTACACTATAAGTAGCCTAGTTTTTGTATTTTCAGTGTGTGTTGTCCTGATGTCATGATGCCTGCACACAGTATCTTGCTGTGTACAATGCGCACCCACATTTCTGTGCACGCTCTACACGGGATTATCATACCCTTTATTATACCATTATGTAATCATTACACCCACGTATAATGGGCATCCTTACTTTTCCCTCAAAAATTTGGGCAAAGCAGTGCGCATCAAAACCAGCAAAATACAGTATATTTTCCTTAATGTTAGATAGTAATTTCTACTTTTCAATAGATACTGGTGTTTCCTGTATTGAATTTAAGAAACCATTTCCGGAATTGGAAAAAGATTACTGATAAAGGATATGTAATTAAAGAGAATTTAGTTTCAGCGCCCCACACCTCCCCCGAAAGGAAAACTGCAGACCCCTCTCCCCATGCCCCGCCGACGCTGCCCCGCCCTGCCCGCTGTTCCCAGAACTGCTCCCCCAGCACACCCCGCCGTTCCCTCGTTACACAGCAGCCTCTTGTCCCGTTTTGCATTGCTGGATGTCAGTGCCCACAACAGTGCCTAGTACATAGCAGGGGCTCAGAAAAATCTTTGCTGAACGAATCGATGAGCGAATGAAGTTCCACCAGTCCTTATTTGTTTAAAATGACGCCGAACAACTAACATGTTAAGCACGAGGCTCCCCTGGGCTGTGGATCCCCGCTGCCTCCAAAGGCAGAACCGAACCATCCAAGGACAGGCAAGGCTCCCAGGCCTGGCACTGGGCCTCCGACAAAAGCATGAGAGGCACTTGAAAAAAACGTGGAATTATCTTCTGGAGGGCGGGTGCCTTGTAGTACAGGCTTCCCCC